CTAGCAATGCCTTTCAAGTAGCTCTCAATAGTGGAGCTTTCAAATAACAGACGCATATTCTGATACTTGGTAACAGATATATCTCTCAGAATTTCTATTCAATACAATTTTCCATCTCATTTGACTTATAAATAAATATTGCGGAGAAATGAATTTGCCATGCACTGAAAGTAGACCATTAGGATTTCAGTAAATTAGTCCATTATTCATACCTTCTTTGCAAGCAAAAGAGATATTATCACGAAAAAATGACATTAATTTGGAGAATGTTTATTTTGAACAGAAGCTGCAATCAGTTGGTATTGTGCATAACCTGAAAATTAAATAAATACATATTTGAAAAACCTCAGTTGTCAGTGTCTCTCCGTTGTCTCTTCCTTTAAAATTGTTTCATTTATTTAATTGTCTATTCTACTGGAGGAGCTGGTAAAATTAAAATACTCTGTTGGTGAGATGCATCCAGTAAAAGAGCAATAGAAACTATGAGATCATATCACCAGAATCAGCAGGTTCATTTGCAGAGAGCCAATCTCCAAAGTGAAATTCAATAGGGATTAGTTCATTCTGCGTTTATACTTGTGGGAGCCAAACTGCTTGGAGCATGGACAGAAAAAAATGGTTTTAATTGTGGTTTGGTATTAATATTATTAAAGAGCCTCTCATGGCGAGGGACCTAAGGTGGTTTAAATGGCTCACGAGTTTAAACTAACCAGGCAAATGAATCCAGTGGGATTCACACCCATTGCATTTAAATTGCAGGGATACAAATTGCGCTGCCCCTGAAACCACCTCTACCAGCTGGTATCTGGAGTGGCACTTACTCCCACCCAGCATGGTTTGTGCTTGCTAAACCCTCTACTTATATTGTACATTACAAAGCAAATCACTGTCAAATGTGAAGTGTAAGCACAGCCACAGATTTCAGATTCTACTCTGGAGGATCAAAAGTGAATCAAGTTCTGCTTTGGAAAGTTCTTGAGGATCAATGAAGAGATCGCCAATAGAACTGAGAATTCAGTTCCAAAATTTCTTATGCACTTTGCCTTAAGATCAATGTGCTGAAATCTAAACATTTGTGGAACTTTGGAAAATTCTTAAATTCTGTCTCAATTCGAAAGCTATTTTTTCACCATTTTTCAAAAGTAAAGTTAATTAAACCAAATTAAGAATTTTCCAAAATTCTGCCAAATCTTATATTTTTCATCAATGATCTTAAGGTTAAAACCATGTGAAATTTAAGAATTAGAGGAGTCAAAGTACTTCTGAATTTGGGAAGCTGAATCTGTATTTCTGTGCTCAATACACAAAAACAATATGCAAATCTTCCTAAACTACCAGGGAAAAACAATGTCTCTCTCGCAATCTTCCCAAGAAAATAAATATACATACATACTACACTGGAAGCACCATGCTTAATCACCTCATCCCCAATCAACTGGACAGCATTGTTAGAAAAAAATATACAGATTCCAACAATAGAAAAAGTACCCATCCCTAAGAGCACCAATGAACATGTTTATCTGTCCATCTTTGTCTTTGGATGTAGGTTTTCTAACAATATCTCATACTGAGGAACATTTTAAAATCTGTTTTTGCACATAGTTAACCTAACTACACATTTTGCACATGGGTTTGTTAACCCAGCCTGATAATTAGGCTACTTAGCACTGCTTGTGGAGGTTGTATTAATTCTCAGTTGGTTACTTTTCAAGTTTCCTGTTCATTTCTGAACCCGGATTTACACACCACGAACATTTGCACATACTGCTTAAAATTAGCTTAGTCACAGACCAACATTAAGGGAGGGGAAGATCATCTCAATTATTCTTTAATTCAAATAACCCTCCAGGAGATCTCCAGAATGTGCCCTTGAATTCTTATCTATCAAGCAAGAATCACTAACAAGGGAACTAATCAGCAAAAGTGTTATGGAGAAACAAAGAATTAAATGCCTTCAAGGTTCCAACACAGGATGAAATGACCCAAGAATCCTCCAGGAAATGAATGAGGAAACAGGATAGGTTCTGATTAATATGTTTAAGAGCTCCACAAATGCACAGTGGTGGACAGCAAATGCATTCCCACTTTTCAAAGAGGAGACATGAATCAGCAAAGTCATCCAACACTGGTAGAAAGGACATCACTCAGGAGCACAGAACACTATCAATATTCTTGTAAAAAGCACAGAAGTCTTAAGTAGCAATCAGTATTGTTTTTGGAAGTAACAAGTCATGGCCCAGAAATCTATTGAAATTCTTTGATAAATAACTTAACAAAGCCAGCCTATGTAGTGAATATAGCTTTGGTGGAGTTTCATAAAGCACTTGGTATATGTTCTGCTTACAAGGCTTTTAACATCTCAAGTGAAGTCTGTATGCTGTTTTCTGCTCAATCACTGAACGATTTTATAAATCACTTGTAATATTACTCAGGAACAATAAGCGCTTTATTTCCATTTTAATAGGATTCTAATAGGCTACCCGTTTCAACACGATCTCTTAATAAGAAGAGATACATTTTGGTAAACAGAAATGCATCACCTTGACTTTGTAGAACTCATTTTGAAAGTATATCAGTCGCAGATCAGCGTGATGCACTTCTGATTTCATTATTAAAGTATCCAGTTGAAATCACCACACGTTCTACTACACTTTACAGTAAATCTTGTGAAACATTTAAGACATCCTCTGAATGTGAAAGATGCTATATCAAATGTAAGGATTATTATTAATAGTAAAAATAGATAACAACAATAACAACAACAAGATTACATTTGTATAGCTCCTTTCACGTCGGGAAGACATCCCAAGGCTCTGACAAAGAAAAAAGTTACAAATAAACACTTCATTATACTGCATTATCCATCTTCCCTTTTCTCCATTTTACAGTTTACTCTATATTATGCCTTATCGTTAATATTTTATTCATCACTTTTTCAGCCAATTTTATGTATTCTGTTCAAAAAATGTATCTTTATTCGTTGATCTCTATTGAATGACTGTCTATTTAAACCTGGGGTTCTATCTATTAACATTTGTGTTCGATCGGTTGAAAACCTGTCTTAAACCAGAATCAAAGCTAGACTGATTGCAGTTTGATCTGATGACTTGAAAGGAAGTAACAGTTCAAAAGTCTGATGTCTACTTGGAGACTAAAACAAGGCCAGTGCTTCTCATTAAGATTACCAACTCATCAGCAGCCTTGGAAATGAAACCTTCACAAAATCAGACAACTCAGCAAAGTTGCTTTGCGGGATAAAGATTAGCGTTCTTAAATTAATAGCAAATTAGTCAATTGGATTAAAAAGTGACTCAATGATTATAAATTGAAGCACGAGTTATATATTACAAGTCAGCAAGTAACTTGAATATGTTTCATTAAAATCTGTGTCCCAATTGATGCCTAGCCAAAATAAATAATTATGAAGAGAATCTATACACCGAATCTGGATCACAACAAGCCGGGGTTCAGTACAACACATCTAACTGCTTCCAAATCTTACAGGAATGGAAACAAGAGGAAATGGGGGCAATCCTAAATGGGCATGGAGTTCAACTGATGTCCCTCCCTCTTCCCCTGGCTCAGTGTCAGACCTCTGCGTGGTCAAGCGCTCTACCCCATGTAAAAGGCACTGTATAAATACAAGTTGTTGTCATTGTCTTTAGCATATGGTTTTGGTTCAACACACTTTACTCAACTATAATATGCTTTATAAATCCTAGAATTAATGTGAGAAATCCATCATATCTTTTTGTCAGTTTTGCAAGGTATTAAAACTTTTTGTTCACAAGAATGTAATTTAATCCTGAAATTTAAACGACGGTTATGAATGGCCTCGTTTACACTGTTATGCTTTACATCGCTAACCAAATAATTAAATTAGATTACAACTTTCTGTCCATTTTCCTGCACGCAATTTCATGCCCACTCATGGGATCTCTGAAAGCCATCAATATGGAAAGACAAGTGTAGCTGAGGAAGTGAGAGGAGAAAGGAAGGAGGAGACAGTGGAAATAAATCTTCCTCATAACAGCTCTGTAAAATAAAGTTTTTACAGGCTGGGAAGAAATAGGTTAGCACGAGACACGGTTAGATTAAGTTCCTGCTCAACTGGAACACACACATGTTTACAATCTGATCTTCATGAAGCAACAGAAGACAGATTTTGGAGTCCTGTAGCTCAGTGGTTAGAGCACTCGCTTTGCAAGCAAGAGACCTGAGTTCAATCCCAGACAGGGCGAAACCTTGGGCAAGTATCCTTACTCCACACAGAGCCTAATAATAATCCCTCCAAAATCAAAAACAATAATAAATTGGTCATTTTCAATCTACGACTGTTTGTGGGACATTGCTGTGCGCAATTGGCTGCCGCGTTCGCCCACAAATATACAGTCAATTCACTTTACAGTGTCTTCTGTGAAGCGCTTTGGGACGTCCTCCCGACGTGAAAAGCGCTATATCAAATGCAAGGATTATTATTATTATTTATTAGATGTACCTTAACCGATTGCCTAGTATTGGTCCATGCTTAGAATTGTAAATACCTTTCAAATAATGTTACTGTTATTGCTATAAGTTTGACTTTGAAGAGTTCACTGTTTTAAAACTAGAGCTAGCTAATAGCCATTAGTGATAATCAGAAGAGCAGAAAATTGCACTGTGTTGTATATGTATATGTTGTATATGGGTAATGTTTACTCCCACAATCACCAACAGTACCATTACATTGTGACCTGGTTATTCATGTGTTGTGGTTTGGTTACTTGTGAGTTATTGAAATCGAGTGGTTGGATCATTTTCGTTTTTTCCTCCCTTGAATGGAGACATTCGGTCGTACAGCCCAGGCTAATGGATTCCAATTATGTTACGAGATAGTCTCGGTTTGTTCAGTGAACTCAACCCTGTAACCACAGGATTGCAAAGGGGGCATCTTAACACTTATTCTACAGGGGTCACAGGTATATCTTCTTTGAACTCTTAAGGTAGAAAAGGCCACTTACCAGCTTGATTTGTTGTAACGTTGATTATGGCAAACTGCCTGGCAAGCATGCTGATGTCGGAGACACCACTCACTGACTGAATCTCAAAGGTGTAGTTCATGTGGGCAAGAAAGTCAACGACTGCCACTGAGGTGTTTTTCAGACCTGTGTTTTGAGGTAAAAAACGCAAGCCTCCTCCACAGGGCTCGCACCTCTTAGGGCCTAAGCCACACCTCTTACAGATGACATTGTAGCTGAGATCCTTCCTTCCCCCTGTATCGATTGGTGGACTCCATTCTAGGATTAGCGCTGACTCATTAATGTTGAAAATGACATTTCGAGGGACAGAAGGAGGTCCTGGGGGTAAAAAAAAAGCAAAAAATAGGTTAAAGCTGCCTTATCCTCTTTTTCAATGATTTACTTGTCAGTTTCAGGTCAATCTCACAAACTCATAATCAACCGAGCACCAAAGATCTCTGTGCAATCAGGCTGTATTAGATTTGTGGCTATAAGAAAATCAATTGCCATAACATTAACTTTCAAGAGTTGGATATTGCAACTGGTCATGCACCCAAAAAGCAACACTGAGATTTTGTTTAATACTGAAGTTCCTGGAAGATCCTGGCAACATATATTAGGTGCTTGACCATTACCATCGCCAGCCCTACATTTATATACGAAGGCCTCCATTAAGTTCAGAAATAGCTTCAATAAATGATTGTTTTGCAATCCCAAACAAAACTATGAAAATTTGTTGTCACAAAGGAACTGTACAGGCTGCAAGGAAGGATTGATTTGCTGAATCTGTGTATCTCAGAGCAGGGTTATACTTCCAGTATTGTGCAAGACCAAAATGTGGCAAAAGGAAAACAGTTTGTATAAAGATACAATAATTAGAGGAACTCAAATGGAGAGAACACTCTATAGAATGCAGGGGACTGTGGCTCATACTTTAAATTCACTTTCCTTTTACGATCAAGTCACAAGGTCAATCTCAATCCAGAATGAAGAACTCTTTTACTAAGAGTCCCAAATGATGTGAGCTTCTTTCACTCCAGTCCTCAGTGAACAAAAATCCAGCGAATCAAATGTTCCTCCACTCAGTATGAATTGACACAAAAACTATGCCTTTCCTATTTTTGAGGATTTGGACATTTGAAAACTTTGCTCCTTAAAATCTGCACAGTCAGGGTCCATGGAATATTATAATCAACTCATTTGATACCTTTTCAGAATGATATGCATTACTTCCAAAATGCCCATCAAGTACTTGGTATTACCCTTGCACTATAGATGGTCCCAAAGAAACAAATGGCAAACAGATATGAACTGGGACATAATGGTACTTGTGTGCATGTTCAGATCAATATTGTGCTTCCATTCCCACCAAGAAGAAAGAAACAAGAAAAGCCTGAAGGGAAAATTCCAGCTGGTTCTATTTTAAAAAAAGAGCAAATACCTAATCATCTCTCTGTGTAGCAGTATCAAGCTGTAGGGTCAAAGTCAGAATATCTATCCGACAAATGCAGTGTCCAGCATAATTCCATGGTAATACCATATAGTGACTTTCAATCGGGATATTTATTAGTTTCAGAATCTATTTAGGTTTTTTTGTTTTCTTTAAGCTTGGCGATCTGACATCTGCTGATGTTCTGCTGCCATCGTTGTTTGTAGTTGGTTGTAATGCATTGAATTCTTGCCTGCTTTATGTGCATTGCTGATTTCTTCTTGTTTCTGCTATATTGTGCGTTGATAAATTCTCTCCACAGGTTTGGGATAAAACAAAAGGGGATTTATACAAGTAGGAATCCAGTTCTTCATGGTTGAATATCTAAGTTTATAAACGTAAAGCAAAACAGACTTTGAGACTTCCAGTATGCCCAAAGGCAAACGTTCAAAAGCACATCAATATTTTCTTCAGACTAAGTCATGGAAAGTAGCAATGTAGCCACAGACAATAGTAACAAGGATTAAAGTCCCAACAAAATCAACCTTGATTGTAGCAAACAGATAGTGCTGAAATACATGGAGAAATTATCCGCTGGGTAACAACAACAGGTCTCATCGTCTAAGGCAGACCTCAGGAACCTTAGTCGCCAAGTAGATAGTTCATCACTGAATGAACGTAGGCTGTGTGGAATACTGAAGTTGTTAAAAAAATGCCAAAAGGACTTGAGGATTCCCACTCATAACTGGCTTGCTTCAATATTGATCAGATGTGGCTAGAACTTATAACCCACTTTGAGTAAACGTCTCTTGCTAGTCCATCATTCTTGATAGAATTATTCACTTAGTCTCAGTGTTAACAATAATATACTACTTGTGCACATATTATTCAATTCAGAGTCCATGTGTCTTCCAGACAGACAGGATGTTAACTATTCAGTAAACAGGTGTCATCAGCAAAGATAACATGACTTTTATTGAATACGAGGAACAGAGTGGGCCAAGCATGATTCCCTGAGACCTGGCAGAGTATTATGAGAAGAAGCTAAATGTCAATTTATTCTGATCCACTATTAGCATTCACTGAAAAAGTAACATATCCAGTTTACCATCAGAAATGCACTACAAGAGGCCAGTTATTTGAGCAGACTGTCAATGGAAAAGATAATGTTTTAAAAAATCTTTTCCCAGTAACATTAAGAATAAAGCATGCGAAACAGTTTGCCAAATTGGGCCAGACAGATCTTGGTCCACTCTTTCCCATAGGATTGAGTTCATCTAGTACTTTTCTGAAATAGATGAATATGCAAGTGCCTCACCCCTATTTCATGCATCTGGTGAGAAAAGTTTGATGCCTTATTTATACTACTCTTCTCGTGTTGATTCATGATGAAAATGATAATAATAATAATCCTTGCATTTGATATAGGGTCTTATCACGTCGTTGAGACGTTCTCAAAGCGCCTCTCAGAATATACTGTGTAGTTTGTGGGAGAAATGCGGCAGCCAATTGGGCACAGCAGTGTACCAAAACAGTCATGGATTGAGAATGGGAAGATACCATAATATATAATAATATATATAATAATATATAAATAATATAGAAGCTATAATGAAAATGATACTGAATCAATGCTAAAAATGTCAGTGAAATCAGTTTTAAGGTTCATGAGCTACAAGTGAACAACGTTTAAGATCAGCTGCCAAAATCAACGAGAAGGGCTGGTATTGCCAGGAAAGTAATTTGCAGATAGGGCAGTGCAAATCGATTAGGTCTCTGCTCCAGCACTGGGCAAAACAAATTCTTTGACGGGTCCATCGGACCACCCTCAAGCTTTTTAATATTATTATAGGGCTCTTCGCACGGCTGGCTTTTTCATACCATTACAAAAGAAACAAGCATTCAGCAGGGGTTAGTGGACCTCTGTGTTTGCATTAAGTTACACCATGCGCAGAGCTGTCCTCAGCCCTTGGCGATTCTGATTCTGGAGTGCTCTTTTCTTCTAATCGCTTTACTGTTGAAAGCAATTTTAAATCACTTCCAGCAGAATAAATTGTGCATGAGTCACATCCTCAGCTCTCAAATGTTGGTTCCGATGGCTCTCCGCTGCTTTTCAAATTGCTTTTTGTTTATAAAGATAGGTGGAAATTTTTAATTTTTATAGGCTTTATATTGGGTATTTCTAGTCAATTTCTGTTGCTGGTGGGGTGGGGGGTGGAAAGTCACAACTTGTAAAAAATGTCTCAAAGTAAGGTGAAACTGATTTATAGCACACCCAAATCGTATTGTTAAGGCTCCAGATCTGGTCCATTTGAAATATTTTTGAATGTCAACATTTTCACTGATGTATTACCAAAGTATACCACAATTTTATTCATATGTATCAAAGTACAGGAAAAGTATTCATCTTCCACCTGAAGACTTAAATACATTCCTAGTTTGCTGATAAATGTCGGCAATGCTTTGGCAAATGATTCAACAGATAATATTTTTATATGTAACATTGCAACATAAGAAAAATTAGTTTGCATATATATTGTAGCTGATTGGTCATGATATTTTGGCTTTCACAATTATATTGCTGCAAGTTTCTAAAATCATTACTTCTTTAAGAACTGAAAGTTAAATGGATTAACTTTTAAATTGTTGACAATTTCTAGAAAGAAACTGAACATTCCTCATATTGAGCCAAGAACAGAGATGCAAACCAACAATAATTAAGGACAACAGCTGGGATGTTAAATGATTTCTAGATAAGCTTGCTATAAACTGTTTGAGATAATGATGTTACACAATACATGTGGTCTCAAGTTTCCACCTTGTTTTAGCCACAGATTACCCTTTCTCTCCCTTGACGCTCACTACTTGTCCGTTCACAGTCATTGCATGTGAGTGATCAGACAGATGTGAAATCTATCCTACATTTGGAAACCAGTATCAACTGAGTCAGCAACTTAAGTGTCAATATGGGAAATGGAGCTCTAAACATCTAAGATGCTGCATTCACAATTTGCAAACATAGAGATGAAAGACCTATGGGTAATCCTGAATTTATTATTCCTCTATTTTCTTCTGTAAACACTATTTTTTGGTGAGCAAGGTTAGGCTCCACTCACCTACTTTAAGATGAATGAGACCGAAACACGTTCCCCAAGACAACACTTTTCTCCCCCCAAACTTTCTAGGCCCCAAATTATCAAACGACGATGCAGACAAGCCCAGTCTTAGCCTAGTAACCAAGTGTTCAAGCTAGCTCTGTATACCAGTATCTCCACTTCCTCTTTGTGAGGGCGGATCAAACGTCACTATTATTGTTACTATTATTACTTGCAGTCTCCAATGACAGACACTAAGATGGACAAGGAAAGGTATTCAGTTCCACTTTCTGCCACTGCTTCACGGATGAAGTGTCATGTCTTAAGGCCACTGCAATGCATGATTAGTTGGGTAGGGTCAGTACTTCTGTTTGAACTTACAAGTCAACTGAAGACATATGGCAGATGAATGTGACTTGAGCTCAGAGTTTTCACGTGCAAAATGTGCACTCATAAACTGTCTCTTAACTAGCAACATCCCTGTGGAGTGCTTTACCACCTGAGTGAGTCATGACTCACGTTAATCTGAAATCTCTTCAAACACGCAATTTAGCAGTAAAGGCACAACAGATAGGTACAACCATTCTGTAACCCTTTTTGTTTACAAATTTGTTAATGATTTGAATTGCTTTCCTCTTTCCTTTTGTTGTTAGCAACAGTTTAAACAAAATAAATCCAAAAACAAAAGTTGGGACAGATGGAACACATTGTGAAAGTTTCCACAGTAAGGATTTACAGATCAGGTTCCTTGACCCAACCTCCCCGTTGCTAACTTGCTTCAGTCAACAAATATGAGAGAAACCCATCCCTTCCGT